GCTGGAAGAGCACGAAGGCGTGCACGCAGTCGGAGGGGTGTACCGTGGTCGTGACAGTGCGGCATCCAAAGGGACGAGGTGCCGTTTATTCTAGATAAATTAGACCCGTGACTTTTTTTAATGTCTTCTTGTTGGCAGATGGTAAGTTCTAGGGCTTTTGGAAGATCAAACCAAGACACGTGCCTGTTAAAGTATGGTCACAACAATAGTAATGGAAGAAAACTGATTTATCAGCTCTGAATAAATGTTCAGGTGTAAATATTATTCAGTTTGGAACCCAAAAGAATTTCCTGCTCTGGAAAAAATGTAGTGGTTTAAAGAGCATTTTTTTTGAAGGCAGAGAAAGATATTTTTATCAGCCAACACCACTGTCCTCTGTGGTTTGCTACTAGTATAAAAATCTGGCATTGATTTATAACACTCCGAGAGGAATTCAGAAGAATGATAACTAAGTTTTTAGCTTTTTTTGCAGTTAATAAGAAATGCCACAGGAAGCTTTGAACAAAGCTGGATTGTAGTCTACAATTATGCACTAGTAATAATGACCACCGTCACTGTAGAAAAAACTTGTAGTTCTTCTTTTGGTTAACATTGTAGATTATTAAAATAACACTAGGAAGTGCGGTTTTTGTTACTAAAGCAGCAGGAGAAGGTGAAATCACATTCTTCATACCTGAAGTTACTAATTCTTTTTTTCGGGACATCCTAGGTGCTTTCACAGCAGACATGTACATGCGAGAAGGTATCGGAAGGTGAGGAATGAGTTTTAGGAACAGTAGAAATCTTTGTTTTCTGAGAATAATTACTTTCATAGTCTTTTCTTTGAGGTGAAGTGTTTTGGCATAGGTCTTCAATATTCTTGCTTTGGAAAGCGATGAATACAAGTGAGTTCTTTAATCCTCTGGCTTCCGAGGGTGCAGGCTGTGGTTTGTTTGTTTTATGCAAAGCCCCCTAAATACCTGCCCCCTCTGCTTCTATAGGAACTCTTAAAATGTTGTATCTTTACTTCCCTAAGTAAACTAGTCCAGTTAATAATGGTTTTGCACATTGCAGCAAGTATTGTACAACGTCATATTTTGGGGACCTCTGCTGAGTACCCCATCCCCAGTCATTGTCTTTGTTTGTTTTTTGGGTAGTGGGTTTCTTCTTGCTCTTTGAGAGTAGTGTCCTAGTTCTTTGAACTAGTTTTCTGAACTAGTTACCCTTGGGTAGTTTTTGGGTGGTGTGGTTTGGGGTTTGCTAGTTTGGTGGGTTTGGTGGTGCCTGGGGTTTTTGTTTGTTTGTTTTGTTTAAGTATTGCTCAAAATGTGCTCTGCTTTCCAGGAAAACACATTCCTTGCTTAGCAGCCATTAGAATCTTATATGTGAATTTGCTACTGTAGTTTCTGCTCCACCGTTAAGGGTACTTTGTTTATTAAGGTTAACATATTTAGGCATTGAGAAGCAAGTTTTCACCCATTCCTGTATTTCTGAGGGCCTAATAACTTTGCTGCTTGTCACCATGTGTTGGCATTTCTTGGAAACTTCTTATGCCTTTATACTAATTACCTCTAACTAGCGATTAAGCGTTCCATCACATTTTCAGGGTCAAATTTTAATAAACGTAGATACCTGTTGTACAAGGTATTATTGGGGAAACTTGCTAGTAGTTAAGTGTTGCATTTTTGACTGGCATATACAGTCAATATACTGAAATATTTCAGTATTTCATATTTCTTAAATGTTTTTAATCATTACCATATGCATTCCTAAGAATTATTTAACTAGGGAACACTAGATCATTCCTGATGGTGGACAGCTTCAAAAACTGTCTCCAGCGTGAAATGTGAGGAACTACTTACCAATGAATGTTTTGCAGAGTGTTTACTTGTAATGTCTTTCACATATCTATCTATTCATGAGAAAATATTTTAAAGCACTGATTCAACACGATCAGTTAAAGTTCTCGGACAAAAGAAGGCTGCGATGTAGATCATGACTTGTTGGAATAATCCATAACGCTCCAGTTTCTTGCTGTCTTTCTCATTAGATGCTAGGCGTAGCTTTACCATGCTATACATAGTGACTTGGTAGTAGTACACACTGACTTTAACCACTTTAGCACTTGTACCTCTGCGTAGTGTATGTTTTAAAATTACTTTTCAGGAGATGTTCTTTTAGAGCTTTATCGGGTGTTTTATTGTCTTATTTTTCAAGAAAATGGTCTTTCTCTAGACTGGAGTAGCCATTTTATGCTAAACATCCCTTTTATGATCAGCATGCCACTAGTGGTGGAGAACAATGATAAGAGGAGATTCTGGTACTCTGAAATGAAAATGGGTAGCTGTCGACAAAATGCACTCACAGAAGATACATAGTGCCTAGAAGCTTCTCTGCCCAAAACGGAATAGAAAAACAGTTTGTACCCCAAAGACCTAGGATCTAATTTCAGTTCCGATGCACCTGGAGAATTTAGTGATATGAAAGGTGATGAAATAAGGAAAGTAAAAGTTTGTGTTGTCTCAGTTATCTTGAAATAGGCATGAAGAATGTTAGCAGATCGTTATTCATTAATGATTAATTTCTCTTCTGTTCAATAGGAAGGTAACAGCTAGGTCTTAAACAGTTCTGTGTCTTAAATGTATTTTGTGTTGAAGTCGGTGGAGGACAGAAACCATAGGGGAAGCTGTGAAAACAGATGGTGACAGGTTGGGAATAGTGGTGACACTTGGCATTTAGAGGCCATTGTGATAGAAGTAAAGGCTGGTTTTTATCTCCTCAGCCCTAGTGCTTATCTAAGTAATGGTGGCTTTTGAAAATGGCTTCTGAAATACTTGCAGCTGTCTTCCTTTTCAGTGGTTGTAAAGAAGTTTCTTGATGGCTTGTTGGATCTTGAAAGTTGATTTCACTCTAAATATTAAGTGCCGTGGGATTTGGGTTTTGTTGCCTCGTAACGGTTCTTCAGGTTGTGAAAGCTGACTAAATGGTATGTAATTATCATTACTACGTATGTTTCCTTTTTTAAATATTAAGCTTTATAACCATTTTTAGCTATGTTAGAAAGTGTTTTCAGTTTGTAGGTGTTCACTTGATGCAGGTGTTAAGCTTACTTGTAACATTTTTCTCATTTACAGCTGTGCTAGTATTCGTCCAAGAAACACATAGAGTTCCCGTTATGCTACACTGACAGTGCTTTGTCAGGACCCACATATAGGATGAGAGTTATGTTTTGTATTGTTATAGTAATTCTTCTGTCCTGCTCCAAGCAAAACAAGCTGCACTGGTGAAAGTGCAGCTTTACTTTTGTAACTGTTTACACTGGAGGATTCTGCTGGCGTAGCTGCGTGGTTAAGTTTTTTTTCTGAACCCCAACCAGGAGAATAACAACTATTTTTGTGGTTGCCTTTTTTAAAAAAGGTATGTATGTAATCAAAATCTTGGTCCATCTAGGAAGGACAGTTAGGTAGCTGGGTTTTATTTAATGTGTGCTTATAGACAAAGTTTACATTTTTACCTAACCAGATGGAAGTCACCAGAATTCAGAAGTGTTCTTCTGTTAATAACAGGTTGATGAATGATTTAAAAAGGTGTAAAGAACTCAGATCTGTGTATTTTGCACATGAAGCTGCCAGATTCGAGACACAACAGTATCCTGGCCCATATGTGGGAAATACTGGAGATGCTAATAGAGTAAAAGGTAGAAGTGATTCAGATGTGGAATCTGCATAGGATGGTTGGCCAGTCTGTGTTCAGCTCTTGTCTTCTTATTAACAGCAATAAGGACAGGACTTCTTGAAACCACACTGTTGGCTTGCCGCCAGGCGTCTGCCTGCCTCTTCAGAAGGCGCTGCGTATGTGGTGCTTGGTAGGTAGTAAGGAGACAGCCTTTGTAAATTCTGACTTTGACCAAGACCCCGGGCAATACCTGTTCAAGGGCATACTCTTTCTTTTCTTTCCATCTTTTTTTAGCACGTGATAAACCTATATGCTTGTTCTTTTTCACACGCTCACCCCATGTTTAACAGTATGCTTTAATGTCCTGACAATTAGCTAGGTAAGGACAATATTTGGGCAAATAAATCACATAACTTTCCAGATTTCTAAGTTTATTTTCAAGTCCAGAACCCTTGTAGCAGCTTCTAAATCACTGCATGTGCATCTTCCAAACCTGGGGTCTCTATGCCCTAGGATAGCACTGTTTTGGAATAAGGCTAGGCAGTGTGCAGTAGTTTACCAGTGGAAAAGACACATGGAAGTAGTGTAATTTCTGTTTAAGAGGTAATATGGATAACTTTATTCTTGCGGAATTTAATAAGGCTGTTTTCGTCGAGAAACAGGTTGTAGACCAGTATCTGCATCTGGAATTCACAGGACTTGACCAGAAAGTAGTGATTCTTCTACGTACTTAGTTTTTCAGTTCAGCACTCGTTCCTACTGGAATGGGAAGGACAGTGATGGAAGAGTATCAGAACCCGTTAATTTCCCCTCTAATTCTTTTGACTTTGCATTTATCTCTAAGTGCAATTTTGGGAAGGTTGGTTTTTAAAATGATCTTTTAATAGTTAGGTGTAATTGGAAAACATTATTTTATGGTTGGGGTTTTTTCACTCTTCTGTTTTGGGGGTGAATCATCTGAAATGATACAGTTACTAGGTGGAAAATGAACGCAATTTAAGTAAAGTATTTCCTCTTCTGTTGAGTACTGAATTCTACAGAAAGTAAGAAAAAGTATTTACTTTAGGTTGTAATTCGTGGTTGAAAGCTTCTTAATGTTCAGCCTTGCCAGTTACTGCCTTTTCTTGCCAGTCTGTCATGTAGCCAGTAACCTTAAATAAATGTAGATGTTGGTTGACTGAAGATAAATATTCCTTTGTGCTCTTTCTAGGCTATTTCTTGAGTACTGAAGACTGAAACACTGTCTGTCCCATCGTTGTTTGTTCCTAAAGCCTACTTAAAAGGCAAGATAATCTGGAAAAAAATATTGTAGGTCAGAATGGAAACAGCCTGTCAGCTGTACATTTGTCTACTTTGATGCTGAAATATATGAAGCGTCTTGCTTTCCAGGGGAAATCGGATGACTTCAGTCTCATTGAAAAGGACAGAGACAGAAGTGTTGATATGACCAGTTATTGCACTGAAGTGCACCTGCTGCTGAGTATTGCTGAAAATTCCTCATCCGACAGTTCAAAAGTTGTATCCAGCTTCACTGTAACAAGTAATTGCCCTGAAAATATTTACTTATTGTTGTTTTGTAAAAACGCCTTCCTTGAGGGATGCCACTTAACTGGCTGCCAGTTGATGTTTATAATGTTGATTTCAACCTTTTGAGCCTGAAGATGCAGCCAGCATTCCACCACCTAATAGTACACTGCTGTGGGCCATATTTAACCAGTCTGGCTTGAAGGATACTACAGGGAGACCAAGTCAAAGGCCCTTCTTCACCCTTGAAGGAAACTTTCAAAGTTTCTGAAACCACTGGTGCAGAAAACCCTAATATGAGAGCTGTGTACACTAATACAGCTGAATCGTTAAAATTGTCTATGTGAGGGAAATTGCTCAAGATTTTGTAGTTTGTTTTTGGTAGTGGAAGTGCTGGAAGACTCTTGCTTTTTCCAAGTCAGCAGGACAAAAAAATCAGTAGTTTGAAAGATGGAAAGAGGTCAGTCCATCTTGTTGCTCTGTTGTATTGTCTCAGGTAGATGAAACTGTTAATACTTAGGAAGAGTAATACCAAAATAGATTTTCTGTGGAAAACTTGTGGTATTTTGATATTTAACTATTTAATATTTAAACAATTTTATAAACCTCTAAAACTTTATAATATTTTAATGAAACTACCCTGAATGATGAATAGTGAGTTGGTACTTTGGCTTCATTCTCCAGTTGAATCCACCTTTGCTATCTCATCTCTTCTAGCACTTGTTTAGAACTGTCTTGTGGAGGTAATGGGATTAAATAACAATCTTGGGTATTTGTAATAGTGTCTTCAAAAGTAAGTTATAATATTCTTAGCTGTGGAGGAAATAATAACTTAATGACTAAACCCTGAAGGTTGAAAAAAATGAAAGGATAAACAGAGAAGCACTCCAAAGCTGCTGCTTCTAAAACCTCAGCGTTTGGAACTGTCATGTCTTCAAAATGCCTTCATGACTTTGGGGATCCTGATTCATCCCACACCTGAATATTCAGAACTAATTACTGGGAGACTGATTTATTGAACACGTCCAGAAGGAGATGATTGGAATAAATGATGAAATACAAAATACATTTTAAGATTAAATTAGACTTCTGTGTTTGCTTCTGTACTAGAAGGAACAAATGATAGCCTGTATGCATTTTAGACTTCCCGTTTTGACTTTGGTTTGACTGTTTCTGGTGAAACTGTGCTGATTCTAATTCTTAATTTCCAAAGCTAAAAGGAAATCAGTCTATAATTAGTTTTTTATTTTTCTACTGTGGGTTCAGTAGACTGGAGAATACTCCTTCAAAAAAGGGAGAGGAGGGTATTTTTAATAAAAAGAGTGAGAGATTTCTGTCTATCCTGGGGGGTGTGTATGTCTTCATAACAATATTTTCTTTTTATTTGTGAGAGCTACTTTCATAAATAATTATTAATCAAAAAAACTGGAAAAAAGTAAAAAACACAACCCTTCTCCACTGAGTTCCACAGATGTAACTTTCTCTGAGGAAACAGGAGAGTAAAAGCCATGGATGGATTAATTTCCGCAGCCATTCATCCAGACTTGGATTATAACAGCAGCCTGTTTGTGCTTTGAATGTACTATATCCCAGATGTGTTACTTTCGAAAGAACTAAGCCAGAAAAAAACCCAAACACACCACAAAACCTCCCAAAACAAATTACCCTCCACCTCCTATGCGAGAGAAGCAAAAACCCACCTCTCTAAAAACCATCCAACTCTTGACTATATCTTACCCTATTTCAGTTCTGCTTTATACAGCTTGATTAGTCATGCACCTCTCATGGCAACTGAGTTTGATCAGATCTTTCTATGCCACTTAAAATACATTTTCTGTGTCAAAAATATAGTTTCTGTATATCCCAGTAAGAGCTGGTGGGAAATAGATTCCGTTTTCACAAGGAAAGGTTAAAACAAATCCCACCCCAACTCTAAATTAAATATGATAATATGAATTGATATGCAAAATATTTATTGGCACAGACTTCTCGTGCTTCTTACTTCATTGCATCTCTGGAGCATAGTTGTTTTCTAAATTCTCCTGTAGCTGGAAGTGTACAGGAGACTTTTGGAAAGGCCACTGTTAAGTGTTCAGTTCCACACAAGTTTATATTAATTTCTTAAAACTATCTTTATCTGGTTTGCATTCATTACATATATGCAAACTCATGTATGTTTTTCTCTGCTACTTTTTTTTTTAAGTTGGAGTTGTGTATTTAAAGACTTTCCAATTGGAAGACCGTAGGTGGATGACTATTTCCCGTGCTTCACAAGGTCATGGGAAATTAAAATAAAAACCACAACCCTGATGTTTTATTTCAGGATTTTACTGAATCTGATCTGCTTGCATGTTGCTAGGAAGGACTGGATGGAACATTTAGGTCTCTTACTCCAGGCCTGCAAATGTCATATGCAACTCTATCGTATAGTCTTACCATGTAATAATCATATGTCATCTTAAATGTAGCCAGGTTTCTTGCTGAATATGAGAACATCATCCTGGGTGAAGATAAGCTTAAAAAACAAAACAAAACATACCAAACAAACAAAAAACCTTCAGAGAAACAAAGTAACATGATGTCAACTGCAAATTTTACCTATCTTAACTCTCAACTCTCACCTTCAAACAAAAATACGGAACAGAAATATGTGCTAGGCACAGGCTTTGCACAGTGTGTTATGCAGTACCTCGTCAACAATGGGGCAGCATTAATCTTCTTGATCTGAAGCCTATGTAGGTAACTAGTGTTTTGAACCTCTCTAAGTTGGAGACTTTAGTAGGTGAGAGACTTGTAGAAGCGTAGTCTGGGGCAGCACTGAGTGCCTTCTGCGTGTAGATGTTGAATCTAAGTGTAATTGAGGTTGGAAGGAACTTCAGGAGGTCTTTAATCCAACCTGGTTGCTCACGGCTTTATCCAGTCAGGTCTTGAAAACCTCCAAGGATGAAGACAGCACAGCCTCTTTGGGCAGCCCTTCCAGTGCTTGACTCTCCTTACGATGGAAGTGTTTTCCCTTCTTTTGGTCAGAACCTCTCTCTAAATGTATGTCTGTTGTCTCCTGCCATACAGTGCTGCAAAAAGTCTAGCTCTGTACTCGGTGGCTGCCTGGGAAAACTGGAAAAAAGATGCTTTTGTTTTTTTGGCAGAACAACAGCCTAGGCATGCTTTACTCAGCAGAAATAAGAGATGCTGTAATGAGATTTGAGGCACAGAGGCAGGATAGTTGGGCAGAATGTATACAGCACTCAGATGTGGAAAAAGTGTTGTGGGCTAACTGCTGTTCTTCTGTATATATAATGTCTATGCCAAATACATCAATGACCAGAGGCCAGAGTGGTAGGCAGAAGCCAAGCAAACAGCAATTGGGATTTCCCCTCTTTAGCCGTTCCTCCTCTCGGCACTTTCTGACCTTGCTAATTCTTTTTATGAGTCATAGGAACCTGTGTGTGTCCTGCTTGTTTGTTGTTGTTAGTGGCACATATTTTATGAATTATTTTCCGTGCAATATGCAGTTCAGTGTTTGTAGGAACATGGTATTTCAATTGAAACCTGCGGTCATCTGGACCAATCTTTTCCCGCTGTATGCACTTGAGGTGCACTTAATTGCTTTGTAAAGTACTACCTTAATTTTTCCTCTCTGTACACTGTAAGAAAACAAGACTGATTATAGTAGGTCTGACTACTACTAATTCTACTACTGAGCCACCTAGCTCAGTGTCCTGCTCCTACAATGGCCATGAACAGATACATAGTAAGGAAAAACAATGTAGAAGTCTTCTTAGGTATTTCCTGTGAATTAGTTTTCTAGCCTCTTGGCAGTTTTCATCTTGAAGGATTGAAGCATCAGATGAAGGTCACTAAATAGACACATTCATTTTAATTTCTGTCTGCCAAGTACTTGTTCAGTCTCCCCTTGAACCTGTGTAAACTGTTAGCATACAAAAAAATAATTGGGACAATGAGATCCGCGTTTCTAAGAACCCTTATATATGACGAGCCACCTTTTTATGATTATCATTTCCTCCTCTTCTGCCAAAAACCCCAACGTGGCCTCATGTTATGATCCCTATTCACTAGTTAGTCCAGAGCAAGGCTGCCATAATGGTTAAGAGGCGTTTTCTAATTTAATTTTGTTTCATTTTCCGGGGTCTCTGGTCTGTTCTCTTGCTCTTGTTTGACAGTCTGTTACTTATACCCATCAATCTACTGCTGTCCCTTAGGAACTTTTTTTTTTTTTTTTTTTTTTTTTACTGTGGGGATGCTGTGGTACTTTTCCTCACTCTGTGCAAGCACTTGAACTTTTAGATTTTTGTGGCTCATCTGTTGAGGAAGATGGTTCATCTGATATAACCCTTGGCTTAAGCCACTGTGGAACCATACCTGAAGATGAGGGGTTTTTTTGGCTGATTATTCACATCTACCACATGTTCCCTTATAGACTTTTGCTTTTGGAAGTAGGTTGTTCATCTGGATAGGTTTAGAAATTTTTTGTATGCTCTTCTGTTTTGTTTGAGATAAAGGCCCTGACTGTTGTATCACTTCGAATGAGAAGTTCTGGATCCTCATCATACAAGTTCTTGTGCAGCCAAGTTGAGGTGACCTCACTAACCAACTCCTTCTAGTTTACCAGAATTTGTAATAAGGGCAGACTTTTATAATAAGTATCTTGTTAAAAGACCTTTCAAGTGGAAACATAAATATCTTATTATCTGAACCAACCACATGTGGTTTGTCAGTAGAAAACAGCAAGTTATTTTCTATAACCTGGCCTTCTGTAGTGTCCTCTTTAGTTATCAAAACCCAATCTCTTACTCGTTTAGTAATTCAGATATGAAGCCTGTGTGCTCTAACATCTGGAAGTATCCAGGCCCTACCAGATAAACAGTTGGCTTGAGCTTAAAAATGTTGACATTTGTTTTTCTTGTATATTTTATTTTTTCATTTCTATATTTTGTTCTGGGGAGAGAAAGGGGAAAATTACTTGAGTGTTGCCGATCGCTGTTGAAACTTTTTTTG